CGTAGATAAGGATCAATTGCTCGTTTCATAGCCCGATACCGCAATCCCCTTTAAAGAAAAAATATGGCAGGAGGTCTTGGTTTGTGCATTTTTAGTTGCTTGCTGTACTCCTGAGCTTCTGCTGCTAAGAATCTAAGTCAGGCATTTTTACCTGGAATGGAATTGACGGGCTGCACTAAAGCGATGATTTGGATTGAGGCATTGGTTGAGGCACATTGTAAACTTTTCAAGTTGAAAACTCTAGTAAACTGAGCAAGGCAGCGTGTTACCTTGTGCAGCTAAATTCGGATGCTAATACAAATAGTAGAATGAAGGTAATGTAGTGCAGTGGACAAACCGTTTAGAAAAAGAAAATTTGGGATAGCGGCGATCGATGTACCCCGATAGTTCTAAGAAATCTGCGCTAAAGGTTAGTTTTTGGGGAGACGTTATATTTGGCTACAAAGAATAGCGATCTATCTGTTGTTGTTTTCAAAATTTGCATCTTAGCTCATGAATGTAAATAAAAATTATTACTGTGCTTCAGAAATTCGCAACGTTTCAGAGCAGCACAGTGTCAGCAGAACAGCGTCCACCGATCATCAGTTTTACAACAAAATTTGAACCGTCTTTCGCAAGGACATTTTTTCCGTGCTGGGATGAGCCGAAATGGAAGGTGATGCATGCATGAAAAATACGCTTCCTACTTAAATATCAGAATGAATCGTAGATTCTACCTTCTTTGCAAATCAAAAAGAAAACATGGCAATAACCCTAAAAGGCACATTTTACGAATTTAAAAGATTAGTAAATTACGCTCAAATGTTTGATCGGAAATGCGTTTCAGACTTAAGATCAATATTCCTTCAAAGTTTTGCTGAACGGAGAGAGATTCGGTAATTTGTAACTGCGCGATGAGTGATAGTAATCATGACAGACTGTCGATGGCGTTCAACAGAAAAATATTTGAATTATTTCTTAGAAAGCTTTCAGGCAACCTACAATATCAGCATACTGCACTCAAACACCATCACTGTCCTGACAAATGCGGCTCCACTTCGTTTCTCCCAAAAACGAAAACGCTCGTTTGTTCGGACGAAATTCCAAGAAACACCACCAATTTCGCCTTTTTTACTTGCTTTTGCAGTTGGTTTGCAGTTTCTCTTTTGAAATCAGTCACTGATCACAAATTCTCTCATTTTTCAAATAACACTGAAAGCTAACAGTACTCTGTAATTCGGCAATGGGACAAGCTACATTTTTGCGCAGATGTTTGCTGCCCGTGTGCGGGCAGGCGTAAAATGGACTTTTGCTTGCTCTTGTGCCTCATATTCGGGCACGTCAAATGTTTAAATTGCAAAACCATCGTTATCATTCTGTCCTTGTAAACGGACAAACTAGAAAGCTAT